AGCCTTTGTATCTTAATGCATGTATTTAATTTATTCGGGACTATTAGAGCGGGATCCACTTTTTTGGAATTAACAAAAAGAAAGGGGTTCTCGTCAAACTTGACATGGAAAAAGTTTTGATCACCTCAACTGGGTTTTCATTGATTATATACTTCTCCGGTGTGGTTTTGGTATCAAATGGAGAAAATGGATAAAAACTTGCATTACCTCCACAAGTTTTTACAGTGATGGTTAATGGCGGGGCCTCCCCTTTCTTTTCGGCTTATAGAGGTTTATGCCAAGGTGATATGCTCTCCCCTTTGCTCTTCATTATTGCTATGGAGAATTTCAATAAGTTGTTGCATAAGGCCACTGATTTGAATATGATTAAGGGCATCATCATGGGTAAGGAGAGTAGGCATATGATTAAGGGCATCATCATGGGTAAGGAGAATAGGCAAATTGAATTATCTGATATCATTTTTGCTGATGACTTTTTGATTTTTTGTGAGCCTAAAACCAAATATCTATTACACTTGAGATGCATACTCCTTTGTTTTCAGGCTGTTTCTGGTCTTAAAATAAACATTAATAAAACAAAGTTGTTGGGCATTAGTCTGAACATGGATGAAGGGGAACAATTGGCGACTGTTTTGGGCTGGTAAGAAAAACACCTCCCTATCAACTACCTTGGTTTTTCCCTTGGCCTTAAATACAAAGATTACAAAGGATGAGAACTAGTTAGTGATCTTTTTGACAAAGACTTGTGACTTGGAAAAGAAGTTTCCTTCCTAAAGGTGGAAGATTAACTCTTATAAAAAGCACACTCTCTAATCTACCTTTATATTATCAATCGGTTCTCAAGGTTCCGAGTAGGGTAGTTAAACAATTAGAGATCATTCAGAATAGGTTTCTTTGAGATGATTCTGAAAATAAAGAACATATCATTTGGTCAACTGGGATGAAGTCAAACTGCCGATGAACATGGGTGGCCTAGGTATAAGGTCTATTACTACTATCAACAAGTCTTTTCATGAAAAATGGATTTAGAGCTATTTCAATGATATTAACAGTTTGTGGAGAAGAATTGTGGGCCTCAAATGGGTGAACTTTGATAGTAATGACAGACTTATCTTCCCTAATAGATCTCATGATACTAGTATTTGGAAGGAAATCTTATCCATATTCACTGAGATGATGTCAAACACTTGCTAGAAAATTGGCAACGGGCGCAAGGTAAATTTCTGTCATGACCGTTGGTGTAGTGAGGACAACCTTAAATATGTTTTTCCGGCCATTTATTCTATTGCACAACGTAAAAATTTAATGGTTTGTGACATTTTTGACAATTCTAGTTTGTGTAATGTGCTGATTACCTGAAACTTAAATGATTGGGAATTGGATGAGTGCGAGCTGCTTTTAAACCTGATGATCGATATTATTATTCTGAACAGACCAGACACTTTAATCTGGAAGGGGCAAAAAAAGGGCAATTTCAGTATCCGATCTTTGTACAACATTCTCTCCAACTCTAGTAACTGGTGCAACACTGATAATTCTCCTTACCCCTTCAAATCTATCTGGAAAACCGGCGCTCCTCCCATAATTACTTTTTTTGCTTGGGAAGTCAGTAAAGAGAAGATTCTGACTTTAGATAACTTGATGAAATGAGGAAAAGTTATGGTTAACAGGTGCTTCTTATGCAAGTGTGATGTCGAAACTACAATCACATTCTTCTATAGTATCCTTATGGTTAACAGGTCTTTAATTTAATTGGTATTAATTGGGTAATGGCTGGATCCGTTCACGATGAACTCTTGACTTGGGATGGCTTAAACTCGAGCAATCACGTCAATCGCCTTATTTCCCTTACTATATTTTGAATTATTATTTGGAAAGAAATAAATAAAAGGACTTTTGATGATAATAAAGATACTTTTGTAAATATTAAGAATAGATGGTTACATTGTTTTGACTCAATTCTTTGAGTCGTAACTTACTATCTTTTGATGACATTGGAGCTGTTATCAATTTTCTCTTAGCTATGTAATACTCTGTACATGGATGGTACCCTCTTGGTGCCGTTTTTTAATACATCTAATAACTTTTATAAAAAAAAAAAAAGAGGTTCTAACCCATCTGGGGGCTGGGAGGATGATATATAACATTGCCATAAATAAAGAATCTTCACAAGAAATAAGTACATAGGTTTCAGAGAAGTAAGCAAGCATAAGAAAATAACAGAAAGGGCACTAAAGTCTTTTTTGAAGATCACCTGCCATAAAGCTCCCAAGTAGTGGCACGGAACAAGTATGAAGAACCTACTAATTGCAATACAGATCCAGGAATAGAACTTGGTTGTGCACAGAACTGTAAAACATTGGAATCATTTCCAGATCTATTATCTTGAGAAAATACCAGGGAACCCATTGGCTTTTGCAAGTTCTTAAGCCATGCAGTACAAAGAGCACCATCAATTGTCATTGCTGAGCTTTCTAAAGAAAATTCACTGATTAAATGAGAACCTAATCTCAGTTCCTGCCATTTAATACAGAATATAAAAAAGTAAGTTGACAGTTCAAAATAAAGATGTTAGTTTTACCACGGTTATGTGTTAACTATCATCAAGAATATTACCTTGCAAACATTAACAGGGCATGTTCTGAGTTTCATGGATGCTTTGGGACCAAATGATAATAGAGGTCTTTGCACATGCTGCCAAAACAATGAAACAATTACGACTTACTAGAATATATGAAGAGATCAAAACAATTCAAGAAAAGGGAAAACATGTATAGCAGGATATTTAAAGGTAGCCTGCCTCCCATCAAATTTGAAATAAAGACTTCAATCATTTTGGGTGCATAGTGGATGCAAACAGATAAGTGGATAATATAGATTCAAAATGAGAAATAAATGCATCAATCTGATACCTTCTTTTCTGTCCATAAGAAACAGACTTGTACTTCTTTTATCTAAATAATAAGTTAACCCTATGAATTGTTAATCTCAGTAAATGTGTTCCACAAAAAGATGCTGGAAATAGACCAGTACAACTCATGCATCTGGTAACAGTTTTATTTGCATATAATAAGAACACAAATTTGCTCACACTTTTCATGAGAAGAATGAATAGAAGAATATTTAGCCAATCTTACCGTTAAATCAAATTTAGCCATTGCAAGATGAATAGAAGCTACTAATCGTTTCAACTTTAAGCTTTCTGCTCTCTTCAGAGACCCTTTCAAGAGAACAAATAATTGCTTCTGGACGGATAATGAAGTAACTATGCTAGTCACAGGTGAATCTGATGACCCAAGTATGCCAGTTGTACTTGAGATTCCAATTTCAGACAACAAGTTGCATAAAGCTGCTAAAGTATACGCTAGGCAAGTGTCATTACTTTGCTGCACAAATTAGAAACTCATCAGTTCTTATGCCATCAAGAAATTGAAACAACATCATAGCAACCTCAGTCAATACCATATAATAAGAGCCTCTTCTATAATGAATGAATGAAAACTGCAGGGGGTGGAGGTGCAGACAGAGCAAGAGGTATGACTATAACATGACTTAATATCTCCAAATCAGATAAAAGATTACTCTGACAAACAGGCAGAGCAAGGTTGCCTGCATTATGCCATATAATGCGTTACATTTAAACTATAAGGAAAGAGCAAGTGACTAGGTGGAAAAATAAGAACATAAAGATTGTAGTTATCAATGCAGTCAGTCTTCTTTCCTCTATATAAAAATTAATGGAAGATAACTGATATAACTCTCTCAAGCAAAAGAGCTTCCTATGTTATGGCCTCAATGCACAGACAAACAAGATACAAAGGCCAAGCTTAACAATTACTCAAGTCATCAATTACCCAAAATTTAAACTAATTATCCTAACCCAACTAAAATATTCTATATTACATATTCTAATGTGTCCCCTCACATACAAGCAGGATTCAGTTGCACATAGACTCAACAAAAAGAAGGGAAGCAGAAAGGTCCACTAAATGGACTTTGTATGGCTCAAAAGTGCAATACTACGCAGGGCAAAAGTGTATAGTAATAGTAATCGGAGGTCGTTCTTAACATTTGAATACAAGATTAACTGTTCTAAAAGCTTAGATAGATAGGAAGAATCACAAATTATTTTATACTACATATTTTAAGAATCCAAGTAACACTCATTTCATCATAAGCATGACATAGATATTTCAAAAAGAGAATCATAAGAATGTTATAGAATATACTTCAAAATGCACAAAATATACATGTGCAAGTATACAATTAAGTGTGATCAAAAAATCAAACTAAGAAGATCACCTGTTGGGAAGCACGTACTGCTTCAGTTAAAACCTGAACATCATCAAGAAAAGTAATTATTAAACCAAATATGATATACTTTTCTTTTTCTTTTTCTTTTTTTTTTTTTTCCGCTCAAGAACATGCAATGGTTAAAAACTTGAACTGCCAGTCAGTTTGTCAATCAGGCTAGGCCTTGGCCAGGCCAAAATGATCTGGAACCCATATACCTTGGGGAAAATTCAATTCTCTCTAAGGGCCAAGTTCAGGTTGGCACAAACTTGAAAATCATGATAACATTTTGATACAATTTAATAAAACAGAGTTGCATAAGTATTGATGACGTTTTAGCATAGTGTTGGCTAGACCACAAGTTTTGCCACCTATATCTAATCCAAGTCAAGGTTATGAAGTGACTCGCCACAATTTTATTTTCAGGGCCAAATTAAAGTTGAGGGGTTAAAGACTACCCCGAAATTATGGATTTTGCCCCAATCCAAACAAACTCATCAAGAGCTAATCTTGGAAAGGATTCCAGAAGGCTTCAGATGAGCCCAGCTTGATAGACAATCCTAGCTAAAAGTCCAACAATATTTGCTGCCTCCTTTTCCCCTTTTTTCTTAACGGTATAGTCGTCATTGATAACAAACGTTTTTTTTTTTTAAACTAATTTTTTTCTGGGCAGGACAAGGAGTGTCTTCCTTATACTTACCTCTAAAGCTTGCTTAGGATGCCCAAAGTGAAAATGCATCATTCCCAAAGACAATAAAGCAACTTCATATCTTCCAAAACTGTTACAGCTGGCTGAAGGAGGGACAAGATCAAATCCCTCAGTTCCTGCACTTTTATGCCAAAGAGTATCAGATCAGTCAATTGGTGACAAGTAAATGCTTCCCAGCTTTTTATCTTTCTTCTCAAAAGTATTTGTAAGAGTTAAACTGACTGGAAGCAAAGATAAACTCAATCCAAAAATAACAATCAGAGAAAAAGTCTAAATAAGAAAGTAATATAGATATCCAAATTATTCTCTTCCCAACCTAGACTTTTTCCAATAAGCATCTCTCTCTCAGCATCAAATGCTTATGTCCCTTGCTTTTGGGAGGCAGTATGAGAATTACTTCTATGTTGGTGTTTTCATGCATTGTATGTTATTATCTCACAACATTAATTCTCACCAAGGGTGATATTCAATCATCAAGAGCAACCAACATGAAGTAAAAGCTTAAAAATATAATATAAATGCAACATTGGCAACAAGAAGAATTGACACAAACATAGAGAAGCTTTTCCAGCACAAAATGTAAGGCACATGCAACCAAAAGCACCAAGAGGCATATTTAGGAGTTACAGAAAGCTAAATTTTTATATACCTGTAATCAAAGTAGCAGTGAAGACTATCCAAAGCAGCAAAATAATCATGATGATATAGATTATTCAAGTAACGCAAGAAGTGAACCTGCCTTGTGATATAGCATAGAAAAAGAGTCAACAGCTTTAGAATTCAAACAATTAAAGACTTAACCAATTTCCCACCCCCTCCTCCCATAACCACCTCAGATGGAGAAAGAATAACTGACATACACGATGTAGCTCAGGGGCCAATTTCTGAAGCCGTCTTAGGATAACCTCAAAAGCATTCAAGGAGAAAGAGCAGCCATGTCTACCATAAAAATAAAAAAAAATAAAACAGAACAAAACTAAATTTAACCCAGTGTGATATTGAACCACTAAAAGAAAATCATCAATACAGAAAGGCCAACATATCATTTACTTTTCAATCGCATCAGCTTGCTCCATTAGGTATCCTTGGATCTGCCAATTTGTCCGTAGGAACACCCCACTGTTTGATTCAATATCTCTCAATGCATCAGCTGAAGTGTTTGCAAATGGAGAAGTTTCCCCAACTTTGTTGCCGCCTTTTGATTTTAGGTCAGCAGAAACTTCAATATCTGCATGTTTAATTTCTTGTTCATATCAATTGTCAACTAAACAAGCCAAAAACACATCTGGAAGAAATATTAACAAAGAAATCCACTTCTGAAAGGCCCTAATATCATTTCAACTGAGGGGAGAAAGCTACAAGTGGCTGATGAAAAAAACAACAACGTGAAGCACAGAGATATGCATGATGCAGGATAGCTTTTCGAAATTATAAATTTTTTAAGCTGTAAGATAAAGCTGCTGCTCTTTTTATACTGCCTCAGCTCATATCCTCAGAGGGAGATATATCTATTGAATCACTGCACTGTTTGATCAGCTGAACAATAACAATTTGATTGCCATTTCTTTAAAAAAAAAAAAAAACAATTTGATTGCCATAAAGCGCACATGTGATCAATAGAGAGATTCCTTAGCTTCAATTATAAGAAGATACAAAGATAGCGCGTAATTTTTCATCATTTACAGTAAGACGTCCTCCACTAGCCTATCATCCATATGCATGTTTTACAAGAA